TCCTGTGTTGTTTGGTGATGTCCTTTTCTAGGGTTGTAGTCCATTGCTGGTCTGTAGTGTTTAGGTACTGTGATTTTTGGTGCAAAATTTCCCGTTTGTACCTGTAGAGTCGGTTATGGGCATCATTAATCATTAATCATAGCATTCTGCGTCCATTCTGTTCAGCTATTTTATATTCCTGTGGGTTGGTGAGTGGAGCTTTGTACTTTATGCTGCGGGGTAGTACCTGGTTCCTGAGGCATTCGTGGAAAAAGTGAAGTTGTTCGCGGGTAGTGCTGAGTCGGTTGGTGAAGGTTTCCTATTGTCGGGCAATTTTTATCATGTTGCGCCCGTGGGTGTTTAAGGTTTTAGTAAAGATTTGCAGCTCGGGCCATGGGTGAGGTTGTTGACTTGCTCACCGAGCTGGCTTGTTTTTGTTCAGACGTTTCGTAACCATGCTAGGAAACACGATCAGTGAGGCCTCTGAGGAAGCGATGTTGTTCTACTCCGCTTGGAATTTATACTGTCCAGTCCATTGCGGCGAGTGCTGTCATTTTCCAGTTTTGATCTGTATGGGTTTGTAAATGGGGTCCAATTCTGTATGTTTGTTGATAGCATTACAGGTAGAGAACCATGCCTCTAGGAATTCCCGTGCACGTCTATGTTTGACTTGGGCTACTATGGTTACCTTGTCCCAGTTAAACCGATGGCCTTCATTGTACGACTGTACTGATATGAAGGAAAGTTGGTCATGTTGTTTTGCTGCTGGTTGATGTTCGTGTATTCTGATAGCTAGTTTCCTTCCTGTCTGTCTGATGTAATGCTTGTGGCAGTCATTGTATGGTATTTTGTAAACTCCATTGATTCTGCACGTTGTGGGAGCAGGGTCTTGTGAGTGTTTGTTGCAGAGTAGCTGTGGGCTGGTGTGCTACCGTGATTCCTAGTGATCAGAGGAGTCTCGTTGTCAGTTCTGATATGTTCTTGATGCATGGGAATTCCTAGTAGCATGATTCTCAACCCATGATGCAATCAACAAACACATAGAATTGGACCTCATATACAAACCCATACAGATCAAAACCGGAAATGACACTACTCACCATAACGGACCAGACAGTATAAATTCCAAGCGGAGTAGAACAACATCGCTTCCTTGGAGGCCTCACTGATCATGTTTCCTTGCATGGTGATGAAACGTCTGAACAAAAACAAGCCAGCTTGGCAAACAAGTCAACAACCTCAGAGAGAGTCAACACTCAGTACTGGACATAGTGAGTGTCAGCACTGGGTATAGAGAGTCAACATTGGACATAGAGAGAGTCAGCACTGGATAAGTGTGTCAGCACTGAATATACTGTCACCACAGGATAGAGAGTGTCAGCACTGGGTATACTGTCACCACAGGATGTACAGAGCGAGCACTGGGTGTAGTGACCGACAGGATGTAGGGAGTCTGCACTGGAATATACTGTCACCTCAGGCATAGAGAGTAAGTGCTGGGGATGATGTCAGTGCTGGATACAGTGTCAACTCTGGGTGTAGATAGAGTTAACACTGGGTATAGTATCAATCCTGGGTATAGAGAGAGTCAGCACTGGGTATAGTGTCACCACTCAATGCAGAGAGCAACACTACTGGGTATACTGTTCACTGTATAAAGAGAGACCATATTGGATATAGTGTCAGCACTGGATACAGTATCACCGTAGAATATAGAGAGTCTGAACAGAATATAATGTCACCACAGGCTATAGAGAGAGTCAACGCTAGATATAATGTCACCACTGGGTATAGGGAGAGTCAGGGTTGGTTAATTCAGTGGCTGGATGGCTGGTTTGCAATGCAGAGTTATGCTAGCTGTGTGATTTCAGTTCCTGCATCAGCTAAGGTTACCGTAAAAGACTCTGCTTTCAGCCATGCCTGGGATATGGTAATCCTCAGATGAAACCACCACCAATTGTCCCTCTCAGATGCGTGAGTAGCCGTATGATCTGGTAAGGCTGTAGAGACTTTACTCTTAAAGGGAGAGTCACCACTGGATATAGGGAAAGTAACATTTGGATATATTGTCACCTCTGGCTACTGTGAATGTCAGCACTGGATATAGGGAGATTCAGCACTCTTGAAATAGTCAGCACTGGATATAGGGACAGTCAGCATTCGGTGTAGTGCTACCTCTGGGAATAGGAGATATTAGCACTGGGTAGAAAAATCAACACTGGATATACAGAGTATTGGCAGAGTGTGTTAGAACTAATTAAAGGACTGTCAGCACTGGATATAGGGAATGTCAGCCTTGTGTCCAGGGAGTGTCAGCAATAAGTCTAGCAAGCGTCCGCACCTGATACAGGGATTGCCAGAGTTAGGGCCAAGGAGTATCCATGCTGGCTCCAATGACGGTCAGCACCGGATATAGAAAGCGTCAGCATCAAATACAGTGTCAATGCTGGGTACAGGGAACATTACCACTAGATATAGGGAGTATTGGCTTTGAGTCCAATGATTTTTAGCACTAGATGCAGGGATTGTCAGCTGTGTCCGGAGAATGCCTGTGCTGGATCAAGTGATAGTCATTGCTAGGCCCAGTCACTGCTAGCATTGGATAGGAGGAGTAGGGGCATTGGATACAGGGAGTGTCAAGACTGGGTCAAAGAATGACATCACTGGCTATAGGGAGTTTAGCACTGTATCTAGGGAGGATCAGCACTGGGTCCAGTGAGTCTCAGCATCGGATATATAGGATTTGACAGGGTTTGGTCCAATGAGTGTCAGCACTTGATAAAGGGAATGCCTATGCTAGATGCATGAACTGTCAAGTGCTGGATACAGAGAGTGCCAGTGCTGGGTGTAGTGACTATCACAACTGGGTCTAGAGAGTGTCAGTACTGTATATAAGGAGTGTGCACTGCATACAGGGACTGTCAGCACTGTAACAGGGAATGTTGACACACAAGAAGTGTCAACACTGGCACTGGCAGCAGAGAATGTCAGGCATCATCAGCAATGGGTTAAGGGGACTGTGGACACACTGTACAGGGAGTTTTACCATTAGGTACAAGGACCAGCAACATTATGTAACGGAACTGTGAACACGGTACAGGGAGCATCACCTTTAGATACAGAAGTACCAACACTGGATATGAGCATTGTCAGCACAGACTAATATTGCAACACTCAGGGCAAAAGCGTCAGCATTGGATGTATGGCCGGAGAACGTGAGCACTAGATAAATAGTGTTAGAAAGGGAAATTTCTATGTAAACACTGGATAAATGAAGTGTAGGGTAGTCAGTAAAGACAACATGGGCACTAGATAAAGGAACTCCAGGTAGAGAAACCACGGAGACTGGGTGAGAAAAGTGTGGACACTGGATGAAAGGTATGGACACTGGAGAATAGGTTGATCCTGGATAAAGGGATTATGGACACTGTGTGGGCATTGGATTTCAACAGTTAGATACAGTAAAAGGGAGTGTGCACTAAGTAAGTTGAATGTTAGCACTGGACAACAATCACCACTGGGGATGGGAGCATGGGCACAGGGATTCTCTGTGCTGGATAAATTTTATTGTCAATGGATATGTTCATTGGAGTTTAGATAAATAAAGGGGATCTCATAGAAATCTATAAAATTCTAAAAAGGACTAGACAGGCAAACACAGGCAGGATGTGCCCATTGACTGAGGACCCCAGAACCAGGGATAGGCCATTTAGTACCAAGAGGAGGAGAAATTTCTTTATCCAGAGAGTGGTGAGCCTGTGGAATTCTGTCACAGAAAGTGGTTGAGGCCAAAACATTGAATGTTTTCAAGGAGGAGATAGATGTAGTTCTTAGGGATAAAGGAATCAAAGGGTATAGGGGTGGGGGGGACGAGTGGCTGAATCCTGCTCCTATTTTCTGCTTCTGTAGAAGGATTGTGGGCTCTAACCTCTCGCAATAGGATAAGGTGTGGCAGTAGCTGGAGGTTATGTGGGCAGTGTGTAAATGGACAATTGCGCATCGGGAAAGGAGAGTTTGGGTTTTGGTTAGGGAATATATAGCTTTGTACGCGACAGAAGCTCGGAACTGGGGACAGGAGCAGACCAGAAAGAGGAAAATAGCAAGGTGGGTAAAGGGAAATGGGAATATGACATTGGAACAGCAAGTAACGCCAGAAGAGGGTGTAAGCACTAAGTAAATCGAGTTTCGGACATGGGAACCAGATAAAGAACAGGTGTTAACAAAAGAAAACAGATCGTTCATGAAACTGGACTCGAGATGTAGAGTCTGCTTTCTCCCCACAGATGCTGCCAGACTTGGAGTTTTTACCAGCAATTTGTTTTTGTTTCAGAACTCCAGCACCTGCAGTTCTTTGTTTAAAGATGAAGCATTATTTAGTCAAGTAGGCGAAGGAGTACTCAAACATGCGGTGGTCGCTGGGTCTCAGTGACGCATAGGTATCCAAAAGTAGACCCAAGCGCGGGCTCGCTGCATAACAGAACCACAGATTTTTGACAGTCATTCTAAAGTTCATCCAAGAAGTACATCTAATCAAGCCGTTTGAAATCTCGTGTTACAATCGCCCTTTATAATGACAGTTCTCGAAGAAATTGCTACTCTACTTCTCTAATTCTTTAATTGTGATATAGACGGGCACTGCAAAATCTCTTTTAAAAATTGGGCACACCAACAACGTTTGGGAAACTATATTCACAGAAAGTGTGTTATTGGCTGTCGGAATTTCCATTCTGAAACAAACGTAGCGTTTGGAGAAACTCATCATGACTGCAGCACCTGCGGCGAGACAGTTAACAATTCGAATCTGGTACCAGAGCATTCTCGGTGATTGTTTCAGATTACGATCATCCCCAGTATTTTGGTTTTATTCCAGCGATTTCCGCTCTCGCTTTCTGATCTCCATCTGAATATAGCAAACATCACCGCTGTCGCTGACAGTAATTAGTCAGTGGTTGAGGCCAAAACAGACTCTGGCTACAGTAGTCAACCTGGTCAGTCATGGTGGAATGCAAAACACATTGCAATTCGAGCTTTTTATTTCTGCGTAGGAGCTGTAACTGATAACTGTAAATATACCACAATTTCAAATACCATAAGTCTCATTTTTACCTATTATACACATCACAACATGGATTAAATCTTACTTTTTATTGTCGTTTAGAAAGAAACACAAATGTTTGACTTTACTGTGCGTAAAATCGAATATTATTATAATTTTCTCGTGCATCAACGTAACAATCCTGCGACACTATTGGAAAATCAGAAACAGAAACCCAGGAGCGAAGTTCTAATAAATGAATATTTTATAAACCAGTGTATACGTTTTATCCTTAGATGGAGAACACTGAATATGTTACAAATTATTAATGATTTAAATGATTATGACCATGTAAACGATAATTCACTACCGTGACAATTTAACATTACCAGGCATGGCCTTGGATTGTCCTCGCCATAGTATAACAATAATTGACCCAAATCTCCACTATTTACATGCTACTATCAAACCCAGTATGAACAAAAAAAAAGCAGCCCAGACTCAAATGGAGAATTCACCGCCCACGCTTGTTCAATAGTTCTAATGTTGTGATCAGATTTTCAAGTACACCAAGATGGCACTTATCTACAATCTTTTGACAGCTTTAATCATCTCACTGTCGTGTTTTCTGATTTTCTTTTTGTAAGTGGCAGAACTACAAATCACGAAATTTATAACACTACCCATTCTTAAAATATTTTGTTTGACAGTTAATCATTTACACAAAGTTGAAAATCAAATTTATGTATGAAAGATAGAACATAGGGTTTGGCTGCCTGTGGACCTCAATTATTTAAACTGATTACTAATGATTCATGCATGATTTAATTGAGAGGATGGTGGACTTAGCGTGATATTGCAAAATGGGGTGCAATGTATTCCAAGGGCAGGCAGTTTTTTGTCATTAATGCAGCATTCTTCATTCCTCAGGGTATCTTCATCCAAAAACACTTTTGAAAAAAAGTATACTTTATTCATAAAAATTGTATAAGTACTTGCATTAATCATTCAAATTTAATATTACTTTAAGTGCAAGATCATTGTTTTCACAGTACAAGGTGTCTCACTACACTATGTATAGCCTGTTACGTAAACAAACATTTATATTTATGAGATAGTAGGAACTGTAGATGTTGGAGAATCTGAGATAACAAGGTGTAGAGCTGGATGAACACAGCAGGCCAAGCAGCATCAGAGGAGCAGGATGGCTGACGTTTCGGGCCTAGACTTCTGAAGAAGTCATGCTATGGCTCAAGGGCCTTCATCAAGGCAATTGCACTGTGTCTTTGCCATAGTTTTGCCAAGTTTATGCCAAAGCCTTGGAATATATGTACTTATAACACTATTATTGAAAAGCTCTTTGAACTAGAAGATTACTGACTTTTGAGCTAACCACAGAACACACTGCACTAACTTGGATGGTCATCCGACAGCAGCTGATACTTAGATCAGATATGCAGATCTGGGAATAGCACTTTTACAATTGCTCCAGATGAACTTTGGCAAAAAGAGAAAAAAAAAAGCATACATTTCTAGACTTGTTCTGAAGGGGTAGATTCCCAAAGGAGGTAGGCAGCAGTCACTTCCTTACTGCCTTGAATATTTTTAAGGTCTCTGCTTCCACTAAATTGTTTAACAAGGTTATTCAGAATGCTATAGAAACCAGAATGTCTTAGAAATACTGAAGGAATTTGCTTCTACTAACTTTTCAGGAAGTAGGTTCTAAAAACTCAAACCCAGGGAACAAAAAAATGCTTGATATATTTCCATTTGGCAGCCCCTGCTTTTCTGAAAAAAAGAATGATTCCTAGTTCTGGATTCTCCCAAAAGAAACATCCTTCCCACATCCAGCCCATCAAAATTTCAGGATCTTCTGTTTCCATTAAGTCATTTACTCTTCTAAACTCCAACAGCTCCACAAGTCTAGTCTGTCCAAACTTTCCTCAGAAGACAAGCATCTATTTAAAGTATTAGTCTAGTAAACCTTCTCTGAACTACCTCTAATACATCTGCATCCTTTCTTAGGAAAGATGATCAATAAACGTGAAAGAGAGAGCCTTTATTACCAGCCAAGCTGTGTCTTGGTATCTGTTTAAGGGTTCAAGTGATGCAAGGGCTAGACCTGCACTATGTAGAATAATGGAGAGCACCATGCACCTGACTACCAGATTCATATGCACTGTGGACAGTGTGTGTCAATTCCACAGTGGCCATAATAACATGCTCCTTCCAGTGTTAAGTGCACATCCTGGCCCCTCCAAACCATACCTCAGCACTTTTAGGTACTCTGACCTGAAGATGAAAGGGACATTTGCTAACTCAGTTCCTAAAGGACATGACTTCACTCTTGGTGTAATTCATTTTGAGCCAAGGCCAGTTTGGACTGGTTATAGATTTGTAGACTTTATAATGCTTGCAGGAGAGCTTTGTTCAAGTTGTTCCTTCAGCCCTCTTCAGTTGCATTTTTTTCTGATGGACTGGGCAAAAAAAGTTCAAGACAAAACAATAGGCAGGGAGAGAGAGGATAGCATACCCAAAGTATACATTTATTATTCATTCACAGGATGTGGGCATCACACCTAGGCTAACATAAATCTGTTAGGAATGGGCAATTAGAGAGTCAACCATATTGCTGTGGTCTGGAGTCAGATGTAGGCCAGTCCAGGCAAGGATGGCAGGTTCTGTCCTGAGGAGGACATTAAATGAACCAGATGGGCTTTTCATGTCAAATCAATACTGGTTTCATGGTCACCACCGGACTTTTAATTCCAGATTTTTATTTAATTCAAAGTCCACCATTTTCCATGATGGGATTCAAACCAAGGTCATTACCTGGGTCTCGAGATGATTAGTCTAATGATAATGCCACTAAGCCATCACCACCTGCCTGCTCAACACAGATTTAACTGAAAAGGTTTCCAATTCCTGCCCATAGATTGAAACTGCACTCTTACAGTTGGAATCGAAATGCAGATTCCTTTCCAATACTACACTGAAAATACAATGATGTCTTGTCAAAGGCCTGCTCTTAGCCTAATCTGCTAAAGTTGATGCCACTTCCCAGCAAGCACATGGAAAACTAAATTTAAAAAGCACAAAGCTACCAGACTTCTGCTGGGCAAAGTGCAGGTCTGATCCAGAGCAGACTTCACCTGATTGGCGAGGTCCTTGGATAAAACTTTGTAGTCCATGGTAAGCAGTGAAACAGATTGACACTTCCTGGTTTCCTCTGTTACGCCCTTGTTGATGATGGTGCCTTTCGTCCGGCATTCTGCAAATAAGATTTGATATCAACTACATGTCAAAGCCTTATCTGTAGCTTGGTAGTACTTTGTACATCAAAACATCTTCCCTGTACCATAACGCGCCCCATGAAAGTAACAGCATGTACTTCCACAGAAATATAGCTTTTGTGTAGATATGACCAAGATGTTTTCTGAACTAAGAATTGATGCAAGAAATAATTTTTATCATCTACTTTTAAATGGCTGCTTTTCATCACGTATGTGGAGATGTATTTAAAAGCTGCTCAGTTATTGCTGTTAATGGTGAACATTTTTATCACTCATCATCATAGAGAGCATGTCCATGAACAAAGTAAATAAAATTTTTTTAAAAATGGACAGAGTTCACTGAAGTATTGTAGGATAATTACAATCTTTATACATTAATTGCATACAAAAGTCCTCACTTTAGCATCAATATAAAGGTTTAATAGAAAGAACGTAGAAACGTATTGCATATCCGTAATCCAATACAGAGGACATTTCAAATTATATGCAAATAAAAATATTCCCAGAAAATAAGGAATGTACCCTGTCAGAATGCCAGCTTTTCAACGGCTTTATAAATTAAAAATAGGTGAGTCATAACAATACTTTTAAAACACATTACAAAATCACGTCAGATTGTAATCAGTTCCTGTGAAATAGCCCTTTATAAAAAAAAAAGGAGAGCTTTAAAACATAGTTAGTGGCAAGATTTTTTTTGTTGAACTTTACAGTCTTCTCTCTCCTCCCCCACCATATACAGTGTATGGACAAGACTGGCAACACTGATATGCATTGTTTCTTCCCAGCTGTCCTTATGTAGTGTGGCTTGCTGGGTTACACAAGAAGGCAGCAAGAGCCAATTATGTTCAGATGGGTCTGAAGAAATAATTAAATTTTCAAGTACTTTAAAGAATCTAAACAGCACCACTAAAGACCCCAGATTTTTACTTTAGAGTTTTCTGAAACGGAATTCAATTCTCAAACCAACATTTGTGGGATTTGAACTCTCAAGTTCTGGATTGTTGGTCAAATCCTCTGGATTAACTTTGACTTAAATCATTTTAGTGTCATATAGGAGCAAGCTTGAGAAAAATATTTAAATCATTTTTTCCAATTTCCTTACCTTCTCTTGAAGAAACTAAAATGAATATGCAGCATAGTTCCAAATGATAATACCTCATTCAAGTGGTCATGCGTGATAGGTGAAAAGGTGGAAATACTCAACAGGAAAAAGTTGCCTAAATTGGATATTTCATCACTGATGTAGAGAGAGAAAAATGTGAAGTTAACATTTCAGTTCTATGGCCTTTCACCAGTTGATTGTGGGTATTAATCAAGCAATGCAAAAGATACAACAGAACAGGAATAGGCCATTCAGCCCCTTGCGCATTCTTTGCCAGTTAATAAAGGTTACAGCTCATCAGATTAAATCTCAAATCTGCAATTCTACTTACACCTGGTAACATTTCATTCCCTTGCTAACCAAGAATCTGTTCATCTCTGGCTTTAAAAATATTCTGAAACGCTGCTTCCAGTCTTTTGAGGAAAAGTTCCAAAGACTTACAATCATGAGAAAAATGGTCATGTCTTAAACGTGTTTTAATTAAGTCACCTCTTAGTCTAAACTCCATCTGATACAAGCCGAGCCTGTCCAACATTTCTGCACAAAGCAACAAACTTATTCCATGCTAGTAACCATTCTAGTTTGGTTAACCTTCTCTGAACTGCTTTGAAGACACTAAGATCCTTCCTTATAAAATACTGTACACATTACGCTAAATGTGGTCTCACCAGTTCCCAGTACAAGGGAAGCAAGACCTCCCTACTTTTGGATTAATTCCTCACAAAAAAATAATAATATTCTGTTGACTTTCTTAATTACTTAGCTTCATTAGCATATTGGCCTTTAGCACAAGGACATCGACATCCATCTGTATCTGAGCTCCATAGTCTTTTACCATTTAGATGATGTTTTTTCATTGTCCATTTTGATAGAAACAATTTCACATTATATATCACTTGTCAGATCTTTGCCCTTTTTTTTGTAGCCTTATATCCTCTTCACAACTTGCTTATTTTTGTCATTTTGGAAAGTTTGGCAACCATGTCTTTCGTCCTCTTATTGAAACTATTGATATAAATTATTCATAACTGAGGCCTCAGCACAGATCCCGACGGCACACCATTTGTAACACCCTGCCAATCATAAAAACTCATGTCTACTGCTGTCTGCTAGCCAGCTGATTTTCTATCTATACCAATAAGCTACCCCATGCACCATGAGCTTTTATCTTCTGCAAAACCTTTACTGTGGTACCTTCTGGAAATCCCCTTTATCCACAGCACATTACCTCAAAAAAGACTCCTCGGATTGGTTAACCAAGATTTCCCTTTGACAAAAACCATGTTGACTCTGCCTTATTACCTTCAACCTATTCAAGTGCTCTACTATACACTTCTTTAACAAATAACATCAAAAAACAAATGACAAATGTTAAAACTAACTGGTCTGTAGTTACTGGCTTTCTCAGTCCCATTTTGAATACACAAGTTACATTTGCTACCTTCCAATCTAATAGGAGTTTCTTCAACTCTAAGATGTTTGAAGATCAAAACCAAAAAAAAAAATCAACTATCCCATTTACCATTAGGACCTGGAAGCATATCAGTCTATGGTGAAGTCCGATGCAAAATCTCTGTTCAATTTATCTGCCATCTATTATTTATTTTTCATTGTCAATTTTGTTAAATCTTTTTCTTTCTTAAATATTGAGAAACTCTTCCATATTTATATGTCTAGCTTTCACGCTAATTTTTCCATAATTTCCAATTAATTTTATACTTTTATTTATACAGTTATACTCTTTTTCTTTAGATTTGATAGTTATACTCAAACCCTGGCATTAAGCAGGCTATACTGCCATCTGGAGACACACCGCTGTAGAATACACCATGTAAATGCCTCTGATTGTTTTTCCTACTACCTTGACATCCACTTTTGCTTCTTGTACCTCAGTGCCATGGTCAGTTTACTTGTCTACCCTGCAGCTACCACTCATCAAATAAGCACAAAAGAACTTCAAACTTGTTGTTTGACAATTGGAAAGACCAAAGCTCCTGCACCCCAGCTCTCTGGGTCCCTTTTCCTGCCTTACTCGCAGTCACTGAACAATGACCAAATCAGAAGACTCTATCCTAAGAGAAGTAATTTTCCTCTGGTACAGAGAATCCCTGATGGGCAGTGTCTAATTCAGCCTCCTAGAAGCTGCATGAACTTCAGTCACTTACTGCAGATATGTTTGCTTTGGATCACACTAGGGTCCAGGACCTACTGCTGCAAGTATGGCACATCACTGGTCTTGACATCCTTAATGAGTTCTAGCTACTTGAGTAAGCCATTTGAATAAGATTAAGCATTTTTAAAAAATAACTTGTTAACTTTACCACTAGTTGCTATATGATTTTCAGCTTTAGCAGTACAAAATTCTTAGTCACTTACCAGATGCTCACCAAATAGTTAGTCTTTTCTGCTGTAAAAGAGAGGAGGAACCAACTTCTGGAGTCTGAAAAAGTTAGAAAAACAGAAACAGAACCAAGGTGCAGAGCTGGATGAACACAGCAGGCCAAGCAGCATCATAGGAGCAGCAAGGCTGACGTTTCGGGCCTAGACCCATCTTCCTAACTCCCTCAAATCACTGAACTTCAAGTACTCTACTATAAATTGCACTCAAGTGTCAAGTCACACTAAGTTAGCTAGTTTTATTTGCTCCTAACACAAAAGACCGAGCTAACCTAGTTAAAGTGGTTTCAGCTGCTTCTTGGTAGCAGATGAGCATTTCTAGTATCTCCAGTATTCCCTTTTGTGAATAGTTTGAAACATAGCACAATGCCGAACTTATTTCCTGGAATCGTGAACTGAACAGCTAAAACATTAGTGTGCAGTGTACAAGTAAGAGGGACGTCACTCGACATTAAAACAAAGCTCCAAACGTTGTACCTAGAGGTACTGAACCTTTCAGCAGCTCAGAGACACAGAAGCCAGCCCGCTGTCAGTCCATGATGAATAAAACTGGCAAAGATCACAAAATGTATTGGCTGCAAATTTCTACGCCATTTAATGCTGTCACAAAATACCAGAACAGCTCTTCATAGAATTGTTCATCATATTTCCATATTCCAAGGCTGTATACTTCTTGCAAAGAATGGCATTACAAAGGTAGAAGCAGCTTTAAAAAACTAAAGCATATGTGGATATTCATAAAATACCTGAAAACAGCCCTGGTAATCCCTGACATTTTCAATGATCTGTAATTAGAATTTAAAATACTGTACATTAAAATCCCTGGCAGTATATTTTATAAAATTACATTGGTATTATCAAAAAACAAACACATTCAGTTATATAAACAAAAAACATCTAATGTGTAAGAATGACTAAAAACCTACTGTACACAAGTCCACATCAGAAAAATTCTGAGACTATGCCTGAAGGGCAGATTTCAACAGTACTTCTTTGAAAAAGAACACACAAGAAAATCTTCTTTCTGTAACACCAGACATGTTTTCACTCATTATCAACCCTACATATTAAAATAGCATTGGGGGGAAATTTTTTGACTTTGACTGTTTCAGTAAAATATCAGCTCTGCCACATACTGTTGAAATGAGGTCTTAAAAGAAAAAGAAACTCCAATATAGTACATGGTCATATGACGTGGAAGCCTTGGATCTGAATGGTTCAGTACTGCTTTGATATTCATAGTTATTTCTTTTTCATTTTGTTTCTTGGAGAATTCTTCAGTAAACTCCTGAGTTTGAGATAAGTTCCAGTTGCCTCAGAAAGATTGTCATATTCAAAAGGTGTAATTCCAGTGGCAAATTTACTCATATCAGGAACAGAAGAAATCCTATTCTCCTCTCTTCCTTCTGACACAGCATCACTAGTGATGGATCCTTCTATTTTCTCTGAACGCACTTGGTTTTCTTCAACGGATGTTGCTGGTGTTGAGGTAGAATCTTGAATGGTTCTACTGCCTTCTATTTCCATTCCGGAGTTTTCAGATGGAGTACTCTCTTCCCTATATGAAGTGGTCTGCTCATCCCTGAAATCAACTGAAGATGCTTCAGCAATTGGACTCCCCATATTACTTTCAACTGTCCCCATTTTGTCAATGGATTCAACTTCCATATGGTTGTCAGGTGCATGCATCGCTGGTGAGGAATTTGTAGAATTCTTGATTAATGGTGAATCACAAGGACCTTCTGTTTCACTATTAGCACTTTCAGTCTGTTCCAATTCAGCCCATATTAACCGCTGTTGTTCTTCCAACTCTTCTAAAGACAAGACATCAGCATCCAAAGTTTTATCAGCATTCTCAGCAGCTGAAGCTCGAGCACTTCCTTCTTCCAAAGAATATCCTACTGGAGAACAATTTGAAGGCGTAGAGGGGGGAGTATCTTTTGGAAGTGGAGGTGGTGTTGGAGTAGGTGGTGCAGGTGGGATAAACATCGGTGGTGTAGAAGGTGGCGTTCCTTTTGGCAGAGGTGGCGGTGATGATGACAATGTTAATGGGCAATCGGAAGGCAAGGGCGGTAAAGGTTGAAACGACCTTGGTGGCGTGTCTGAACCTACAGAATAAATGCACCAGAGATAATATCCAGCAATAAAAAAAGCCCTCAGTAAGAAGTCAATTCTTTCAGGATAGCCATGCTTCACAAGTAAATTTGCTCAATCCAGGAAACAGGTAATCAACAATTAAATGATAACTGTTTCTGATACCGTTACACAAGGACCAGTAAAGTTAGCTTGGTGGTGGTGTAGAGCATAATCATAACATTTTCAACAATATTTATCTAATATTATAGAATCATAGAATCCCTACAGTGTGGAAACAGGCCCTTCGGCCCAACAAGTCCACACCAACACTCAGAGCTTCCCACCCAGACCCATCCCCCTATAAACCCACTTAATATACACATCCCTGAACACTATGGGCAATTTAGCATGACCAATCTACCTAGCCCGCACATCTTTGGACTGTGGGAGGAAACCAGAGCATCCGGAGGAAACCCACGCAGACACAGGGAGAATGTGCAAACTCCACACAGACAGTCGCCCGAGGGTGGAATTGAACCCAGGTCCCTGGTGCTGAGAGGCAACAGTGCTAACCACTGTGCCACCATGCCAGAATGGAATGAGAAAAATCACAGTAAATATGCAATTTACACTGTATTCAAGCTAGAGCGGAGATAAAGATGGACAATGCCCTTATTTGGGAATAGCACAGGTTGAAAGAAAAATTGTTTTTTTTCTTTATTCATTCACAAGATAAGGCTGTCGCATTTATTGCCCATTGTCTGATTGCCCAGAGGGCAGTTAAGAGTCAACTGCATTGCTGTTGGTCTGGAGTCACATGCTATATCAGGTACGGATGGCAGTTTCCTTCCCTAAAAGGACTTTAGTGAATCAGATGGGTTTTTCCAACAATCAAGAATGGATTCATGGTCATATCAGACTCTTAACTCCAGATATTTATTCAATTCAAATTCCACCATTTGCCATGGCAGAATTTGAATGGGGTCCCCAGAATATAATCTGGGTCTCTGGATTGTCAGTCCAGCGATAATACCACTAAACCATCACATCCCCGAGGTGGTGGTGGTGATTGCAGAGGTTTGGCAGTGGCTGGAGAGTATTGGTGAAATTGACAAACTGACATAGGACTTCCACCTACTACCTTTCATCTGTAACAGGGTATATATCCAAAGATGCTGTAATGAAGATAACAGTCTCAAATTTGGCTCAGCTTCTGGGAATATTTGGGTGACAGCATCAAAAAAGTTCTTGAAAAATTGTGTTTGAATTTTTAGTCAGGTATATCTCAGGATCTAGGCAAGCAATTGTAAGATCTACAGATCAAACAAAGAATCTCTCCACAGTATACCAGCTTGATGTGATGTACTTATATACTTCTTGATTCGCTTCATCTCTGATAGGTGGAATAAGTATATGGAACTAAAATAAAATAAAAGGTGATGGAAATCTGAAATAAAAATAAAAATTTTGAAAATATTCAGATCAAACAGTAACTGTTGAGAAAGAATCAAAGTTAATGTTTCAGGTTGATGATTACCACTGGAAAAAGTTAGTCACATACAAGAACAGATTTTAAACAAATACAGAAACATTGAAAGTTTGAAGCGGCAGGGAGACATTTGGGGAAAAGAAAATGAAAGAAATGTCCGAGTTGTCTAAAGTGGGAAAGGAAAATAGACGAGGAAAGTCAGTAGATGAGTAAATTGGTAAAAAGTATAAAAATGGGAGAGAGTGAAGGAATGAATGAGTGAACTAGCTAATGTAAGTGTCATAACCTTGGAAGATGCAAATAGGAACAGAGAAATGGCAGATACTTTAAACCAATATTTTGCATTTGTCTTAATGTTCCCTCTAATTTTCTTACCAGCGGCGCAGGCCTGCAAGGGCCATGCACGGCAGGGACTTCCAGAACCACAAGTCAATGCCGCAATTGGCTTGTTGACATTGATTATCCTGTACAGAACCTTGAAGAGGCTGTGCACTTGGTGCAGCTTTGAAGGAATGTTGGACGCCACTGTTCAAGGAGGGAAGGAGTCAAAGCGGGAAACTATTGGCCAGTTAATCTAAATCTGTTGTTGGGAAAATGCTAGAGTCCATTATTATGAAAGAAATAGCAGGACATTTAGAGAAGCTTAATGCAATCAAACGGAATCAACATGGCTTTGTGAAAAGGAATCATGGTTGACAAATTACTAGAGTTCTGAGGATAAAGCAAGCAAATTTGATAAAGCGGAACCAGAAGATGTAGGGTATTTGGAATTCTGGAAGACGTTTGATAAGATGCCACATAGAAGGTTATTGTGCAAGATAGGAGCTCACAACTCTGGGGGTAATATATCAGCATGATTGAGGACTGGTTAACACACAAAGTCGGATAGTTGGAATTAACTGGTCTTGTTCAGATTAGAGAGGGGTAACTGGTGAAGCGCCATATCAGTCAGTCTTAGGATCTCAATTATTTACATTTATATTAATTACCTGGAAGAGGGAGAAGACTGTAATGTATACAAATACAAAAATAGGTGAGGGTACATGTTGTGAATGAGAACATAAAAGGAATTTCTGAGAGTATTAGATAGGTTGAGTGAGTGAGTGGGCAAAATCTTGGCAGAGAGAGATAAATGTGGGAAAATGTGAAATCATGCGTTTTGGTACAGACAATCAAAAGGCAGACTCAGAGAATCTCAGAAACCTATTAAATTCTAACAGGACTACACAGAGTAGGCGCAGGAAGGATGTTACTAATGACCAGGCGGTCCAGAACCAGGGGTGACAATCTAAAGATGTGGGGTAAACCATTTAGCACTGTGATGAGGAGAAATTTCTTCACCCAGCGTGTGATGAGCCTGTAGAATTTACTATCACAAAGCAGTTGAGGCCAAAATATTGTAGAATTTTAGGAAGGAGTTGGATATAGCAATTGGGGTGAAAGGGATCAAAAGGAAATAGGGTAAAAGTGGGAACCGGCTTTTGAGTTGAATGATCAGCCATGATCAAAACGAATGGTGAAGCAGACTCAAAAACGGCCAATTGGCCTACTCCTGCTCCTATTTTCTACACTTCTATGATCACACTAGATTGTGTACAGAGGTAGTTTACAGGATGTTACCAGGAATGAAGAATTTTAGCTGAGAGAAAACAGTAAATAGGCAGGGATCATTTACTTTGAAACAGAGGAGGCTGAGGGGAAATTTAATTGTGATGTATGAAATTATGAGAGGCCTGTATACAGAAGAAAAGAAAGACCCATTTTCCTTATCAGAGAGGTCAAAATCTAGGACCACAGATTTTAAAGTAATTGCCAGAAGGATCAGAGAGAAGAGTTGAGGAAAATCTCTAATGTAGAGAGTGGCAGCCAGTTTGGAACTCCGACTGGAACAGTGGTAGAGGTAGAAACCATTGTCGCATTTAAACAATTCATGGATATGAAATACTGAATCCTACAGTGTTACAGAGCACGAACTGGAAAGTAGGATTAGGAATGGATGTGACGGTTTGATCTCAAAGTAGATTAGAAGTAGACAGTGTACAGTTGGAGAGATTTAAAAAAGGGACAACAGGATGAGATGAACTGAAGTTGTGACCTGAAGTCATTGAACTTAATATTGTTTAGTAATCGGTAAAATGCTTAACTGAACAATGAAGTGCTGCCCTTCAAACTTATAAGCGAGGTTCCTTCAACCATAATAGGGAGCAGAGGTCAGAACTGGAATGGAACAGAGAATTGAAAAAGAACAGGTGAATGGAGGGTTATGTTTGATGTCTGAAGAAAGGAATTCTGCAAACTGGCCACCTAACTGATTATGATCCAGTATACTCTGCAGATTATGTGCACGAAATTTAAAATTCAAGTTAATTGCTGTTTCACCCAGCAAGTGTATTTCAGGCCATGGATTGGGGGAAGTGAGGAGCTAAAAGACAGTATTGCACTTCCTGTGTTTGCATGAGAAAGTGCAGTGAGAAAGAAAGGCAGTGCTGGGCAATGACTGAGAAGTGGACCAAGATGTCACAGGGTACCCAATATCCTAACATGCAACTCTATGAAATGCCTATTTATTTAACATGACATAGGTAAATTAATATCATAGCAACAAAAGGTAGGGATAGGGATCAGTAATGAGAACTCTGTTGGATTTGTTTTCTATGTGCACAGCACCCAACTTATAACTGACTATCCCATGCTAATTGTGAGATCAGTTCTCTCAGGAAAAAATGGTATCTAGTGCTGAATATTTCTTGATATTCAGCTAGAAGAAATTTCTGCTTATCCACACCTGAATTTGAAAAGCAAGGTAACAAATTGGTAACAGTGGAGAGGTGGTCGTATGATAGAACAGAGTTGTCAGCGTACACTTGGAATGAGATGTGTTTTTTTGGATGGTGTCACAATGAGACAACATGCAGATGAGGAAAAGGAGGGAGCGAGGGAGTCAAATGTTGGATTCTTAGAGATTATACTCCCTTTAGGAAGCATCAGTGCAGGAGTGGCAACAAAACACATTGTTGGTGATTCTCTGTGACAATTCAACAGATTGGCCTAGGAGATTTAATAAAGGTAGGATATACGCATTGAGTGGTTGGTTCCTAGGGATTACTGAGGAACAAAATTACAAAAGGCATAGATAGTGTAGATTATGAGTACCATGTCCCAATGGCAGACATGCCTAAGACCAGAGGCCGTAAGTGGTTTAGAGGGGAATCTGAGGATTTTTTTCACCCATAGGATGGTAGAAATATGGAAGAAAAACAGGAACAGCTGGAAAAGCTCAGCAGGTCTGGCAGCATCTGTGGAGAGAAATCAGAGTTAACGTTTTGGATCGAGTGACCCTTCCTCAGAAATATGAACGTGCTGCCTGAGGGGGTAGTGGAGGCAGGTACTCTTGCAACATTTAAGGAGCACTTAAAATGCCAGGGCTTAGTAGACTTTGGAATAGGCACAGGTAAATGGGAATAGTATAGTTTGGCATTTGTTGGCCAGCATAGACATAGTGAGCCAAAAAGCCTGTTTCTATACATATGACTGAAAATAAACAAACAACACATGCCAAACAATTCTGGGACCCGTGGTTTAGAAATTTCACAAATATAATCCTGATCATTTAAAAAAAAATTCAGATATCCCTATTGATCAACCATAACTAACTATATACAGTATGTACTGATTTTAATTTGCATCTTAATTGACTTCAAGCCCATTCCATCAGAAGTAAGATTGATACAAAATATTCTATGGCATACATGGACTTCACCAATAATAAAGAAACCTTTCAAAATGAAAGGCAGAAATGCTGTCCAAAAAGATTTCTCTTTAATTAGGTCAAATATAGTCAGACTCAAGATATGCATCATTGTAACATGCTGTTACAACTGGACACCTTATGGAGAATCTGGCTTTGTTTTCTACAAAGTTTCACAATGAGTGTCATATTGTTCTGTGTGTGGGCAGTCATTCCTTACAGAAAATTGACCCTTCTTGGCAAAATGGATCTAAGCTATGACCCTTGAACAAAATTTACCTACATCTCAAACAATTTGTAGCTGTAGTGTTCAGGCAGTACCGTCTTTCATCTAAAACAAAGGGTGCCTTAAATTTCTATCAACTATCTTTAAATTTTACAATTACACAGCAAAATATCTTAACTGTACAAAGAAGTTGATGTCCTGACTTTCATTTCTTTTAAAAAATACCCTTCTTTATCTATGCCATAGTATAAAGAACTACAACCTGTTTAACTTATAGCTGGGACGTAGGCAAAATAAAGATCTGTAATGTCATCTCCGGAAAGCACAGGTGCTCTATTTTTGTGTTTTTCACTCCCCTTCTTTATTTCAATAATAGTTAAAAGCCAGCCTTCTTCAATGGAAAATTCAATATCAACATTCAGACTCCAAGTTTTTGAACATTGTATTTTTATGGAAGAAACTACCATTTTATCATGATTATTTTGGTAGAAATCATGATGGAATTGACACACATATTTAACTGTTGTACCTGAATCTATCTCCATGTCAAAAGAATTTATATCTATTTCTTCAGACTTGCGCTTCTTTACACTTCTCAGGCTTGAGTCAGCATCTGAACCCCTTTTGTTTGCACTGTGTTTAGTCTAAAGAAAAGAAAGAATTAAGTTGGATCAGTTTAAAAATTAAATTTTTCTACTTTACATTAATGGTTAAAAAGCAGCATTAGTCTTAAAATTGCTCTGCTCCATGTTTGCCTTGCCTCATTACTACAGTTTCATGCCGAGGTATGATTTAATGTGTATTCATTGCTCTTAGATACCTTACCCAAAATGGTCATTTCCAATATACGAGCCTAAATGGGAACATCAATGGATTATGTGGTTAAGGAATTTTCCGAGCTTCATCTCTTCACCTCATCTCAATATATTTGCACATCCTAATGTGAATTCTGTTGGATTTGTTTCCTCTATGCACAGCATCCAAATTATAACTGCTCACTTCATGCCAAATGGGAGATCAGCTTCTCAGGAAGCAAAAATCTTTCCTGGCTGACTGATTTGTGGTAGTAGTCCAATCATTTCTCAATAGTTCAGTTTTTCTATTATAAAGGACTAATAGATGAAACCTCAACATTTGTGTATTAAGTACTGTCAAACTACATTTGACATTGAAAATATTTCAGTTACTTTTTTCAGTTTGCACAGTTTGCGTAGTTTCTATTATGTTTCCTTTTAAAGCAAAAGGCATCATTTATACAGATATCTGGCAGCAAACAGTTGAACCTCAGGAAACATTTCTGATGGCTTAGAAACTAATACAGAACTGAATCATATTACCTAGGTTGTAGTTTTTTGTTCCCTGTTTCATAGCAATTTTAGCCAATTGCCTTATACTTGTGAATATGTAATTACCCATTTCAAATCTTTAAAATAACTGATTGAAATAGCTGGGTTCAACCAGCATTAAAAAAAACACGAGCAATAGATAAGATGGTGAAATGTTAAACTCACCATGGGATAATCAGCAGCCAATTGATGTGCAAAATATTCCTTTAGATGATGAGCTTGCATTGGAATTGAACCATATTGCCTCCATTCCTAATGATACCATAAAAACAAATATCAAGTCAGTTAGAACAAAACTTTCAGGCACATATCACTACATAAGTAAAATTAGGCGTGGAACAACATCACTGACGGGCGCTACCTGAATTCCTTTATTTAATTATGCCTTTTTCTACAAAGTGTTAAACCTTATATCCTGAAGCAATAAATACAGTTATTCAGACAAGACCTTCCAAAGCTAACACAACCTCAGAATGGTGGTCAACATGGAAGAGACTAGAACAAAACAAAAACAGGTACAAGCCCTTTGGCCCAACATGCCTGTGCAGACACATGATGCTTGATGATTTTTTTGAAGTTGTGGGTAAAATGTTTGAACATAAAATACAAACTGTGTGAACAAGGCTCCCGGTAAGAAAGAATAGAAAAGCATGTTATTAGTGTATGAGGGAACCATTCTGATTACTTTTAAGACATCTAATTCACAGAGACATCCAAACAGCTGATAATCCGAAGTTGCTCTATAAAAGGTGTTGAACCATAAAGAGAGAGAAAAGGGCCCTGTAAGGACAAAATAAAAACAGACAGAAATAACATCTGTTGAATGTTAACGTTGAGGTTTTCAGAGAAGCAGATACTGCTTGAACAATGATTGAAGGATCCCATGATAGCTCAGTTGATAAGTACACAACCTAATTACAGTATTTAACCATAAGAGTCAGAAAGATCAAGTTTTGATTCCTTAGTTAGCCACTCTAAGCCAAGACCACCATGAGCTCGGAAATAAAACCAAAGACTGCAGACCAAGATCCAGCTTAGTTGTTGAAGTAATTATTTTGGAAAATTGAGGCAATGACAAGAATGTTGATGCTTACATGGACTGGCCAGAAAATGTAACTCCAAGATTAACCATCACATTTATAAACATACATACAAATTAGGTCATTCAAAAAGATAATGGCTGACCTGTCCATGTTACCAAATTCCATTGAGCGCCTTTAATTCCCTTGTCTAACAAGAATCTTCTGACCTCACATTTAAAGCAGTCAATGGCCACGTCTCCACTGCCTATTGAAGTAGACAGTTCCAGAGGTGCACAAACCTCAAATTCCCCCTTGTCTGCTTTAAAAAGGGCAGTCTTTAAATTTTACAACCCTGTCCCCTAGTTCTAGACTCTCCTACAAGGTGATATCTTTTCTACGTCTACCTATTCAACACCATTCAGGATCTTATAAATTTCAAATCATTCCAACCTCACCCTTCCAAATCCCAGTGAAAACAAGCCCAGTATGTGCAACCTTTCTTCAGCATACAACCTGCACATTCCAGATATCATTGTACATATGCTTTTTCTTTAATTTGGATGCTTTCCTTATGCTCTCTAGCAAACCACTGATTTTTTTTTCCTCGTGGTGGTGGTGGTGGTGGTGAAGGGCAGGGGTAGTGGACAGTCAGGTCTTGGATTTCTTCTTTCTAGTAGGGATGTACTTATTCTGCTCCAAAATCTTCATCTGAATTGAAACTGCTTTTCCATTTGTATATCTTTTAATCTAATATACCACTTTGGGTGGGAAAGAAATATAGAATCAAGTATACCGAGTGTAATGCTTACATCCTGAATCCCTTTTGGAATAACAGCATTGAATCCTGCATAATCAATGAGTTTACTTGTATCATAGGATGGAAGGTGAGATTTTAGATGTTGTTTGTCATGTTCTGTTTCACTGTCACTAGAATCTGTAACATTAAAGAGAAAATAGAAAATGGTTACAATATATTTTGGCATGCCCGAGAAACTAAAGACAACAATCCTAAAGGTTAGTGCAAAGCCTTCGTAAAATCATGAGCTTTGCAATTTCTTTAAAATTCTGTTGAATATCTTCCCCACCATGTGAATTATTAATCAAGCAGTCTTTTGACTTGGGCAAGAACTGTGTTCCTACTTCCATTTTTGTTGGATAAATATTTTTAAATCTCTGAACTTAATATTAGATTATCTTCTCATGATCCTGTTAGCCAGGTAAAAACACAAAGCTTGCATCTTGCCACCAAGAGATACCTCAACAGGTTGCCAGATGGATTTCTTACAATTAGAAAATCTGGGTCACCTCCAAAGACAATTGTCAGAATTTTAGCCTCCATTGAGCTGTTTAGATATTTATACACACAGCTCAAATATATAAACAAGGATTATATTGTATTTTATGGGAGCTATCAGCTAAAACATTTTATTGGACAAGCCGTTCCCAAAATGTTGTGTGGCTGAATAATCAGAGTCACTAAGGAGAACAGCATATCATTCAGTGGTGCAAAGGAATGAATGCTGGATATAGATTCCTTGATTAAGGAGAATATCATTATGTAGCCAAGGTAACTCTTGTTCCATACTAGAAGTAAAAACTTGTGCAGTTTCTTGCCAGTCTCCGTTTATTTTCCCATTTCAATCTAAAGCTTAAACTTTTAAATCTGATGATAAATCACACGTTTAACAACAAAAATAAAAAGGCATCCCCATCAGGATTTTCTGCAACAGAATGAGGTGTTATGGGTTTCCTTCTCAAAAATGTCCAGTGAGTGTAAACTACCTAAAAATACAAGACTACCATATGACAGAGAGAGAAGAGTGCCCCAATGTATTGACTATGATTTTTTAAAAAATGCATACACCACATATTTCTAGTATCTACATATGCAGATGTATTATGTGGAGTGATTCACCTTTGCCATCATATAAAGCAAGCCCAGAATTCTCTTGTTGGGTCTCCAGCAGCCATCCTGGTGGATAACCCAATTGACGCATCCGATATATAAATGGTGGCAGAGTTTCATCAGTCATCCCCAGAGCTTCTTTAAGTTCTACACTGCAGAATCAATTCAATCAAATAGAAAAAAGTGAGTCACGAACATTATTCAATGCTGCAAACAACAAATATTCGTGACCATACAGTAAGCTATTCTACAGGATGTTTACAGTTTGGAAGGTACTTTTGTGGATTTTGCACAAAGATTATCTGAAAAATTATTTTAAAAAGGCTGGTTACTGCACAAAAGCAGTTTTATATTGAAAATAACAAAATACAATACCATTTTACAAGTGGCAGTACTTTTAAGCAAGGGGAAAACTGGAGTCATTCCCTTCAGATTCTGTCATAGTAGTGCTGTGGAGAAACAGCAGTGGGATAGAACTAATTGAAACCAAAAGTATTGCAGATGCTGTAAATCAGGAACAAAAACAAGTTACTGGAAAGCTCAGCAGTTCTGCAGCATCTGTGAAGAAAAAGATCAGAGTTAACGTTTTCGGGTCCGGTGACCCTTCCTCAGAACTGATGGTAGCTGGGAAAACGTCAGTTTATATGCAGAAAATAGGAAGCGGGGTGGGATAGAGCCTAAAGAGAGAGAAAAACAGTTGGACAGACAAAGGAGTTGATAATGATCTGGCTAGGAGGATGAATAGTTGTTAATGGGGACTGTTAGTGACTAACTACTCCTGCTTCCAAAAAAGACCGAGCTACCTGTTGCCTGCCACTTCAACACACCACCCTGTTTCCTGGCCAACATCCCAGTCTCTGGCTTGCTGCAGTGTTCCAGCGAAGCTCAACGCAAGCTGGAAGAACAATACCCCATTTTCCGCTTGGGAACCCTGCAGTACTCCAGACTCAATATCGAAGTCAATAATTTTAGGGCCTAAACTCTCCCATGTCCTAGCCCTCTATCCCACACACCAGGCCTTATCACATAGCCTGCCATTACACATCACCTGTTGTTAGTCACTAACTGTCCCTATTAACAACTATTCATCCTCCTAGCCAAATCGTTATCAACTCCTTTGTCTGTCCAACTGTTCTTCTCTCTCCTTAGGCTCTATCCTATCGTTTACTCCCTACCCCACCCCGCCCCGCCTCCCTATTTTCCGCATATAAATTGATGCTTTCCCAGCTACCAGTTCTGAGAAACGGTCACCGAACCCGAAACGTTGACTCTGATTTTTTCTTCAGATGCTGCCAGACCTGCTGAACTTTTGCAGTAACTTCTGTTTTTGTTCTAGAACTAATTGAACATCTTTTTCAAAACAGCTGACAAGAATAATTGATTTCAATGGCCTCCTTTTGTATTATTTAATTCAAGGATAATCCAATCTAACAGCATATTTACCTGAGAACACCTGGCTTGAACTTTTCAAACCTCTCTGCATGATACCGCTGTTGAGAACCTGAATGAGGTGAATCACTAGCCATTGTCATGAACTCTTTTCTCTTTTCACTAATACGAGCAAGATCACGTGGCTATAAAGTTAATTCAAACATTATATGAAAGTTAATTTTATACTAAGATAAACAACTGCAAATTAAATGACAAAATATAATCATGCTGTTGTGAAAAACACACAAATGAATTTTTACTATGAATGTTGTCAAACATTCGCAAAAGGTTTGTTTCATTTGTTTCTCTTTGAAGCAGAATCAATTTGAGATGACTTCTTCTAAACCTCATTCCTCCCTTCCCATCTAATTTTATTGATCACGCTTCTTCACATATGATTAGACCCAGCAGCACTCATAATACATGTTGGTGGCAGGTTAATTCACACAATATTCAGAAAATTTTGAATCATAAAGAACAACTAGAGAAAACCTCTAAGTATAACTGACAATGTCTGACAAGGTGTTCTTTGAATTACAAGTTGTACATTCCTGTGCATGCCGTTAAGCCTATCAGCAATAAAAGTAGAAGAGAACAGCCGGAGAAAGGAGCAACAAGTATGACAAGGAAGAAAGGAAAGGAGGAACACAAGTGTGCAAGCTGCCCTTTGCGAGAGGCGTGGACAAGGCAAATGAGGGAATAGAGAGGAAGGACTCCGGGTTGGGCAGCAGGAAGTGGGGAGCTGTAAAGAGAAGACAGTTTAAAACCTGCCAAAGGAATACCCAAGTTAATAGAAGACTGGAAGACACAAAAATCGGAGACAACGAATTACTTGCAAATGAACATGCAATCTCTAGCTTGAAACTGCACTAAGAAGAACACTGTTAATTGTTAAATTTAAGTCTCAACTTTTGAGATTTGGGATACAGTGACCAGGGGAATAACTACCTGGTTCAAACCTTTCAGCTTTAGGCTAATGCAATGGAAACACATTCACTGTGACCTCACCAATTTGTGGAAGGTGCAGTTAGGGTGACAACTTTGCGTGTGTATAAGTGTCAGTTACTTTAAAAAAAAACTTTTGCTAAATGTTGTCTTATACCAATTTAAAATGCTACAATGTTTACTAATTAGTACTTTCCCTCTGCGTTGTGGCTTTGAGTTGAATGGCAGTTTGATAATTCTGCTTCTACGAACATCTGAATATCACATTTTTCAGCAGTAAAACAGAAAGGATTGTTACACATTACTGAATAAATGAGCCAATGAGAATGAAAAAGTATTCTCAAAAAACATCGCTCAGATAGAGTCTCAAAGAAGACCCCTTTTAGAGAGAAAAAAATATAATGCACCCTGGTCTCCAATACCTCAACAATATACTAGTTCTTCACAAACAAACATAAAGAGCAACTATCAACTGACTTTATGGCCAAATTGACTTTATCCTTTTGATCTGGATGTGTATTTCAGACCACTTCCACAGGCCACAAATGTATTTCCTATAGGGATCAACTATTAATTAGCTGCAGAAGCAAACCAGAACAGCAAACTGTACTACTCATCAGTATCTGCATCTCAATCACTGCCTCAAAAGCCAGCGTTCAATTTCAGGATCTGCTATACCATACCATACCAGACACATTTTCAAAGTAAACCATCTTGGGAGCCCACATTCATCATTTCTCAATATAACTTATTTTCTATCATACATATTTGTTCAAACACTACAATGAAAAAATATTGCATTGTTTTTAATGCCAAGACATCCTAAATCTCTTCAAATCTAATTCAGATACAAAAAGATCCCAAAAACAAACAAAACAGTTTAATTTGTTGTTTTCTTGAGGGAGGACAACCAGTGCCTCTTCTAACTCGAGATTTCAGTTTAACATCTCATCTGAAAGACAATATCTGTCACAATGCACCACTCTTCCATTGAATAAATTGTGCAGTCACATTCTGGAGCAGGGGCTTGAACCCACAACTACTTTGACAAAGGCGAGTTTAGAACCACTGAGTAAAGTGACCAAGTACAAGCTCTTAATTAGGCTTATGGCTAGTTCATAATCAGACCTATTTATGCCCATTTAGAACGTGAACAAATTGTTGACTTCTGTAAAACCTTGATTTTATAATTTACTCATTTTGAACAAAAAAATCTCATTACAAAGTTATGGCGACCTTACCTTTGGACAATCCTTTAACTGATGTTCTGTTGAACCACAGTTGAAACAACAAGGTTTTGGCCTATTTAATACAAAATGTGTTTTTCACTTACTTAGTAAGTCATTTTAATAAAATGACATGTTATAATATCATTCTTAAAGAGATTTGAGACCTATGCACTTATACATACCTCTTCGCTTTCAATTCCACTTCTTGACCCTCTAAGGATACAACTTGGGCAAAGACTTGCTGATATCTTTACTGCGAATTCAGGAATTACTCACGTCTACAAACATTTATGTCCATTAGTAGGCTTCCTGGCTAAGAAATGTACAGCGCTGTATTGCAAGTTTTTAAAACATGCTCAACAGCATGTCAGAGATAGTAGGAACTGCAGATGCTGGAGAATCCGAGATAACAAGGTGTAGAGCTGGATGAACACAGCAGGCCAAGCAGTATCAGAGGAGCAGGAAGGCTGACGTTTCGGGTCTGGACCCTTCTTCAGACTGAAACGTCAGCCTTCTTGCTCCTCTGATGCTGCTTGGCCTGCTGTGTTCACCCAGCTCTACACCTTGTTATCAACAGCATGTCAACTTGTTCTAACACAATGCACTGAGGAGTTATAACAATTGCAGAACTATTAACTTGGTCATGTTCCATGATAAAATAATCAATCCTGTGTATCTGGCCTACTACAATTATCTTAAACTATTCTCTTCTTCTGATTAACGACAACCCGAAGAGAGAGATGTTGCCAAAGTCTTTTGCTTTGAGCTCATCAGGACACCGGTAAATTTCGAACAAGCAGAATTCAAACTTTAAAAAGTATGCCAATCGTTTGGCAAGTCGACTGATTGTCAAGGCACTGCTGTGAGAAAAGCAATGGGGAACCCACAGACTTTGGAAGCTCCCTGGTAATTCAAATAAGGTGCAAATCTTATTTGCCTTTTGTATGCAGGGAATGGACTCCTACATATCAAAGTATCTCACTTCAAATAAGTGAGAATGAGCCATTAGATTGGTTATTCGTAGTGCTGCTAGCACAAAGGGTTGTTCTATGAAAATGTTGTTCAATTGCAAAGTCACATTTTATCAGTCGGATTTTGTTCTTGACATTCTCTTGGCTGCACAATGAGCAATATTGTATACAAATGTCAGTGCTATGCTAGCTGCATAGGTACACATTCCAGTAACAGGCTTATCAAGTTGAACATGTCCTTTTGGTTGTTCATAACAGGCAGAGTACATCCCAGATTCAAAAAGCTTGTCCTTACAAAACCAAAAAACATTTATCATTGTGTGATTCTGAGATTGGGTAGGGCTTGCTGAATAATTGTGTTTGCTAACAGTTAAACTAACAACTAATTCAAGACAGTCAAGCTCATAAATATGTCTCATTCACATTTGCAAGATATGGCATGTGGTTATACATGGGGACCCATTCTCTGCAAACAAAAGGAATACATTTAAGCCTTCCCTTTATTTCCCAGGGTATTTCAGGAGCCCACAGTTTTTGTTACTTCCTCTATGGCAACCCTTCAGCAAGAATCGACTAGCTAACCTATTAGCATTCTTTTCGCATATAATTTAAATTGTGATCATTTGAAATTTGACATCCTTGCATCATATTGATTAATGCAAAGTGAAAAGATTTGACAATATGACTCTTTTCAGCAATATCATTTCATGAATTCTGCATATGAGATTAACACTCATATTACCATATCTATCTGTGCACAGATCTTTGAAATTCTGTTCTGTGAAACAAAACACTCTGCCAAAGGCTAAAAATTAATTAATGACTTCCTATTATAAAATAGGATCAGCAGGCAAGAAAGTAAAAACATTCATAAGGTCAATTTCAGACTTTAGAGATACAGTAGCTTTTGCACAATTTAGTTACATTGAAGTCACAATCTTTCCAGATAAAAATTTATAAATAAATGAAAAATAAATTATGCACGTGGCATTTATTTCCCCTCTCAAAGATCAGGACAATTATTTCAACAAAATGGTGAAACAGATTTCAAGACTTAGACTGTAAATTGTTTAAAACTTATAAACATCTGGAACTACACAAATTAAAAAGTTAATGCATAAAATTCTTTATATTTTGAAATTAATATCTGAATGAGGTAGATATTTAACTCCCAAAATAACATCACTACATTTCACTGACTTCTCCAATGTCTACCAAAAACCTACGTTTTCTTTTTTCAAAATAATCCAGAAATTAATGGTTAAAATTTTACTAGATTTTGGGAAACAGAAAGGCTAGCAAAATAGCACAAAGACATTGGGGTGTGTCCACTCCACAATAAGGGCATTTTGCCTTCAGTAAGAATCTTTGCAGACATGTTGGCCACTGGAAGATCATTTGAGCAATATCAATAACCCATTAAAGGCCACTTCCCTACTCCCCACACCAGGATCATCCAATGAAACTTGGTGACCTTTCATTTGATAGTGAGAGTGGAGTCTCTCCTTTCTGATCACTCCACGATCGAGGTAGAGGGACATGGACAACAATGGCTATTGCTACAGCAACAGTGTCAATAGTGCTTAGTAGTCGCCAGCCACTTCTCTATGTCTGGGGGTCTGCCTGCATGGCTCCAGCAACTTCAACTCCACTTACATCTTTCCTTCCACCCTGCTTAGAGGGTGCCTCAACTTTTGGAGAACCCTCTCCTTCCAGTTGCAGTCTCCTCATTGATCACCAATTATATTCAGTTTCTGGTCCTTCAATTGACCTGGTAGCCCTTGGGGGCAGATATCAATATTTAGTTGGAACAGTAGCCCCCTATTTGTTTACTGCCAGAAATGCATCAACCTGATCCTGCTACCAGCCAAACAGTGGTTGGTTTCCTCCTTTTGGTCCCAGTATGGGGACTTCAGCTTTATGGGAATATTCTGGCCTTTATCTTGTAATAAAGAAACAATAAACTGAAGTAGAATTCTTCGAATGAGCAGGATACTTGGGTATTTCCCATCCATTTGTCAGCTGTGGATTCTCATTTAGCAATGGCTGTCCGAGTTTGTCAAGGCAAAAGTTGGTGAAGTACTGAACGCTTCCCACAACCTGCATGAAAAAAAAAGTTACAAAAAAAACTTTCCTCATATGTACTAACTGGCACAAAAAGTAATGATTTTATTACTATAGAAGGAATTGTATTAAAGTTCAAGAATTCACTGTACACAGATACTTTGATATTATAGATATAAATATATAGTGCAGGACCTCATCAATAAATGTTTAAACAAAAAATCAAAGCACCAACACAGAATCCAAATCAGACATTTAAAACCAGTGTAAGTTTGCTTTCCTTTTGTGGTTTGATATTTTAACACTGATTATCTGAGCATTTTGTTTTCCAAACCAAAAAAAAAGTGAATGGAGATAAGATTTTACTGTAAAATTTGACATAAATTTGATCTGATCCATGAAAAATTGTGAATTGTATAACAATTTATATTATTAGTATTATAAATTATCTGTCTCAATTTCAGATAAGCACATTGTAAAAAATCTGTATAACACAATTTGCACAATAAGAAGCATTGAAATTGTGAGAAGTATAAGTCAGTAGACACTTATGGATTTATTTTATAGTGGCAATATAGATCCAAAGAAACAGGAGGACTGGAAGCAGTATACTGAACAAATCTTGGTTAAGTTCAGCACAATGCATCCAATAATTAATGCGCTTGTAACAATAGGTGACTCAGTGCGTAATGCATTTTGCCTGCAAGAATATCTTTGTAGGTTGGTTTACAATGTTGATCATAAGGTTAACAAATCTAAAAGAATTGTGGTAAATGTAACCCAACTCATTTAATTAACTAAGTACAAGTGCTGGAGGAGATCAGTGCACAAAGTCATTGGATATGGATGGTCTAAAGATACCCTGTCCCACAGCCAAACCACATGTAGAAAAGTGGTAACACAGCAAAAAATTGGTATTTTTCCCATAAAAGGTAAGAGAAATCATTTGAGGAGGATCACCTCTTAGCAAATTGTGGAATAATGCACAGCAGCAGTAGGTCATTTAACCTCTTGAGCCTACTCTGCTATTACTGCACAGAAACGAAGTATAAATATTTGACACTGACGTTCCTAATGCCAAAGTTATCAAATGGCAATGGGAGCAAACTATTTTTCAAAATTAGTTGGGAATTCCAAAGTGCATGCATTACATGACTTTAATTTGTGGACTTCTCACGTTTTATATTTTTGAAATCTATTTCACCACTTTATTAAAACAATGACCTTGAATTTAGCAGCTCACTAACTTTATACAGGTTTGATAGTTAAAAATAAACTAAAACTGAAATAATTGTGCTTCAGATGGCCTTGCAATACAAAATTAAATATACAAGCTAACAATTAATGGTAAACTCCCAGAACTGTGTAAATGTTAGCTTTCAACTATTAAAATTAATTTGGAAGAAATGAGATATTACAAAGTTAGATTATATAGATTGGAATTCAAATAAATGTATTGCTATACATGTGCCCAGTAGGCACGTGATAAAAGATCAGGTAAATCATGCAATGATTAAGCATCACAGAACACTGCAGGTGTTGAGAAATGGCAGGAATGTTAAATTATTTACATAATTCTTCACATTATTGAAGATTAAAAATTCTTCAATACTAGCATTACAACATTTAAAAGACACCTCAATGAGTACACGAATAGGGAAGGTCTGGAGGGATATGGGAGTGGAGCAGGCAGGTGGGACTAGTTTACTTCGGGATTATGTTCACCATGGACTGGTTGAAAAGAAGGGTCTGTTTCTATGCTGTAGGACTCTTTGAGTCTATGACTTTAAGAGGCTGGCATCATGTGCTACCTACCAACACTGAAACAACTAAACCTTCATCCCTTATTGTGATAGCAGACAAGCAGACACAGCTTGCGTAAGGATAAGGAAATAGACTTAAACATGTTAAACCAGAAAGCCTGCTTATAAACTCTGGTGTTCCAAAAACAAAAAGGTACCAAAATGAGCTGGTGTCCAATTTTGGATTTCACGACTGGTTCAGAAAGACTATAACATGGATAAAAGTTGGTGACATACACAAAAAGAAGCTCATGAAATGAACAAATAATGATACTTTAGACTACACAGGACAGATGCCACAGGGCAGCATGGTGGCTCAGCCTCACAGCACCAGGGACCCAGGTTCAATTCCACCCTCGGGCGACTGTCTGTGTGGAGTTTGCACATTCTCCCCGTGTCTGCATGGGTTTCCTCGCACTGTCCAAAGATGTGCAGAGTAGGTGGATTGGCCATGCTAAATTGCCAATAGCGTTCAGGGATGTGTAGATTAGGTGAGTTATAGGGATGGGTCTGGGTGGGATACCCGAGGTCCGGTGTGGACTTGTTGGGCCGAAGGGCCAGTTTCCACACTGTAGGGATTCTTTGACTCTTCTATGAGATCTTCAACTCAAAGTAACGAATGGCATTAAGTCTAGTTGTGATCAACATTTTTTAAATGAATGAGTTCCACAATTATCCAAGGCATTATTCCAGTATTGAGAAACAGTATGAAACAAGACAGCCAAATATGGACCAAGTTAGTCAAATAGTAATAAGGAGGCAAGCTGTAATAGAATGCTGCATTTTCCCTGTATTTTTCCATGGGATGTGGGCACGATTGGCAAAGTCAGCATTTGTTGCTCATTCCCAGTTGCCCTTGAACTAGTGACACTAAATTATATAAGTACAAACGGATTAAATACAAAACAACGCACATTTAAACAAGGAAAATTAAATGTGTAAACATCAAGGGTGTGTGTGTTTTGGAAAGTGCAGAAAAGGATAAAAAAACAAAATGATCAAGATTAACAACCAAATATCCATTAAAATAATATGATCAATTCAGGGACCTCACCAAAATTAAAATCACATAACATGATGCAACTCAAAGATATTTGATTATTATACTGAAGACAAATTCCTAGTGATGCCACCTCATGCGTTGTTATGGCCACTCAATCCCCAAAATAAATTAATATTTTACTAAGGGATAGAGAAGTGCAACAATGACACTTAAATAGAGGACGTAAAATTCCTAGCCACCATACGAGGAAAAGATTTAATCACTGGTAGGAATATGTGGCTTTGCCTCTTAAGTATAAAAAAAAATGGTTTTCACTTCTCAACAAGACTGCAATTTTTACCTTGAGTCTGAAATGACCAAATGGAGAACATAATTTCTAAATTATAATAATCATGGTTGAACAATGTAGACTGAATATTTAGATATTCTGGAACCCTCTTCCCTTACTTTCACTGTTGAGCGAAATGCCTTAGAATTTCCTCTCAGAATATTAAATAATTTGAATATAATTTATGATTTAGGAGTCATAAAAATGACTGCCACAATTGTACCAAACTCAAGCCCACCTTCATCTGTTATGCACATGCATTTGCAACTGGAGCAAGTGGACAGTAATCAGTAGATACTTACAGGGATGCACAGTAACCCAGCTCAGCTGCAAACTTCATTACTTCTACAGCCAGCCTAACCAAAATCAGTTAACTCAGCTCGAGACCAAAGATTGAAGCAGGGTCCCCAGGGCTCAGTACAATGTAATTTCAGCTCTGATGCAGTTTTAATAATTCAAATAAATATATTTGTCATTGGACTTTCCACTTACATGAAATGCTTCTTTGATCTTCTTTACTGCATTTGATGTTTTCACTTTCAGGTGCTCCTCTAGCAGCACACTAGATGGCTGAAAAGATAGATACGTACGTTTGCTTACAAATTTTAACAACAATTCTGAAATGAAAGCTGTATTTTGTCAAATGTATTCACCTGAGGTTTCACATTAAAGGATGTTTTTTCAGGGTCACTTTGCATTTCTTTTTCATATCTTTCAACTAAACTTGCAATGAAGTCTTCAATTTCTTGATGAAACTGTCTGAAATTAAAATCAGTGCACAAATCAGAATGGTTGGTGTCAAATTGGAAGTACTGCAAAGGAAGCAATAAAACTTAAAAATGATTCTAAAACTGAAACTTACTTTGAAATATTGTTGTTCATAAACAAGATCTGAATCATTGGGCCATCTGTTTTGGAGTCACTCACAACTATTTTACTGGCACAAATAAAAAGTTAGTTTAACAAACTTTCAAAACTTGGAAGATACAGAATCCAATTTGACATTTATGTTGCAAATCATACACAAACCACTAAATAATTCGGTTCATGTTCTACAAGATGTATTAACAGCTTTTAGGTGATGGTATTTAAAAGCCAAATAATTAGAATACAAACTGGTCAAATATTGCCATGCAATTAATTCACAAGCATGGAATCAAAGTGTACACATTGGAATATATAATATTTGTGACTGCTGTGATTGGTTCGTTCGCCCACAGACATTTCATTAACCCTGCTCAGTCCTGCCCGATGAGGCTGCACTGATGATGTTACCCAGCAGGGTAATGAAACGTCTGCGAACTAAGGAACCAGCTCAGCAAGCAAACCAACCACAGCAATTCACAACCCAAATCTACTGAAGAATTTTAGAATATCTGCGACTAATTGTTGAGTTCTATATAATTAGAAACAACATTACATTGTTTGTATTTAGAGTTTTGTGAAGCGTTTGGCTCTCAACATTCATGTTACCTTGGCTGGGTCAATAAGTTCAACTTCCTCTTCAGTTCCGCATGTTAAATGGTTGTCAAGGAAAAGACCCTTACATACCATACTGGCAATAAGCATTCAAGATCAAACCTTAAAACTATTTTTTGAAAAAGGTTTTAGGGTGATGAATAACACAGTAAAGTATAGCTCTGCATTATGCAACACACCTTTTACCACATTCCATTTACTAGTTGACTTTCTCTCTCCAAACTTCAAAACATGAATCACTAAGGGCTACACTCCTTACTTTCAAATGTAAAATAATGAAGTACTAGACAATATCAGTTAAAAAAAATAAGTTGGCATCTTACTACTGTGCATTTATAATAATCTTTGTTCAAAATTGACAGAATTTGCATAATAATGTAGGGAAAAAAGTTGCCAAGCTATTTTTCTAATTTTAACTACACATTCATCAGTTTGGCTTTACATCAGAGCAAAGTATACAGTACAACTGCATATGGTGGTAATATTTCCAAATTTAGTAACAGGTGGAAAATGAAATCAAGAATATCATCTCAATCTTGCAATGAGATACAGAACTAAATCTAGTGGGCAGCATCCAGACTGCCTCAACTTGAATGTAATTTCTAATCATCTTAAATGTCATCAGAATAATCCATGAAAAAACATGAGAATTTAACTAGTAATTGGTATGGCCATAGACATTCTTTCCCAATTTGAGAGAATTCTGTGAAGCCAAGAACACATACCTCATGTTCACTAGCTGCCAGGCAGATGGCAGCTTCAAGTGAAGATGTGAAGTCATTAACACTACTATATTATTGTAAAACCCATGGCTTTGCACCTACATTTCAATTATATAGTATAAATGGAGGCTGAATCCAGAGTTACAGTCTGGTTTTACTCAAACCGGTCAGCTCACAAATTAATCCTGCACACCAACAATAAATTTGAATACATTATACCTCTTTCTTTATTATTGAATCATGCAGCATGGAAAAAGACCCTTCAGTCCAACCAGTCCACGCCAACTATATTCCCAAACTAATCTCGTCCCACCTGCCTACACTTGGCCCATATCCTTCCAAATCTTTCGGAATCATGAACTGATCCAAATGTCTTCTAAATGCTGTAACCTGTACCTGCATTCACTTTCTCTGGCTGTTCATTCCACACATGAACCGCTGCTCCCAGGTCCTTTTTAAATCTTTCTCCTCCCACCATAAAAATATACCCCTTACTTTTGAACTTCCCATCCCTAGAGAAAACAATTGTCATTCACCTTATCTATGCCCCTCATGACTTTATAAACCTCTATACGGTCACCCCATAACCTCTTTTGCTGCAGTGAAGAAAGTACCAGTCCTTCAAGTCTACTTTTTATGTCTCAAACCTTCCATTCCAGGCAACATCCTGGTAAATCTTTTCTGAACCTTCTCTAATTTAATAATATCCTTACAGCAGAGCGACCAGAACTGGACACAGGACTCCAATAGTGGCCTCATCAACAAGACGTCCCGACTCCTCTATTCAGAAGATCTGAGCAATGAAGGCAAGCGTGCTAAACGCCTTATCCACCCTGTCTTCCTATGACGCAAATTTCAAAGAATATTGTAGTCCAATTTAATTCATTTAGGAAGTCCGACAATACTATCAGGCATTTAAGACCTTGATTCACACAAATAATGCATATTCACGACCTGACAGGAAAAAGACAATCCAAATATTACTCCGAAATAGAAGTGAATAAACTCTGCAAGCGTGATAAAAGGATTTAAAAAAGGAAATTTCCACTCACCGAAATTTCCTATCAGTTCTGTACAAAAACGTCCCGCGCCCTAAATGTATTTAGCCCCAAAATGCGACCGATAAGTTTTCTCCTAACTTTGTACAATTCAAAATCGTGTAGCCACTGCGCAGAGGATAGTAAAAGAGAAAGGGTGGGGGGGGGATGGAGTGGTGGAGAAAAGGTTATTTCTAATCAGGGCGTTGCTGTGTTCAGCTTTCTCAGGAAGCTGAAATGAAACTAGAATGGGATGACACACAGGCCTGTGTTCCGGGCCTATCCGGTGAAGCCAAACCAAGAAGAGAAAGCCCATCAAAAAATCCAGATTTAAAAAAAAATACCGGATAACCGCAACTTGACAGAACGACAGCAAATGCCTGAAGGCAGCGAGCGAACGCCGTTAAACCGCCGTTCTGCCCCGTCTCTTTTACGCGGCTTCTCGACACGAGCCAATCGCTCCCGAGGCGCCCCGTTTGATTTTTCGAGGCAGATTTATTTTAAACGGAAGGATATTCTCCGCCTTCAGGTAACCTATTCTCTCCTCGAATTCCAGTAGCTTCTCCCTCATTGCCTCTGCTTCGCTCGCATCTTCCAAGTCATTAAAGCGGATGTGAGAAGGTTTTGAATCGTCAAACTCCTCAAACAACTCGCGGTCCCCAAAATCCAAATCCACCCTCTCGGCGGCCATCTTGTCATTGGGCAGTGAGTGACGTGTCCGGGTTAAAGGGTGGGGTTCAGAGTACAGTCCATTGTGACCTCTCCGAGCTGGTTCTATGGTGACAGACGGAGCAGTTTGGTTTAAACGTTCATTAATCATGTATTGTTCTTCCTGCTAATGTGAACGCAGCCTCAAATTATTTAGAGAGACGCGTTGGTGAAATCTCCGTCAATATTAAGACCAACTGTTATGTGCAGTTGTTAACATGCAAGAAATGCTGGGAGCACAATATGGCAAATGCTAGTCCAAGTCAAGACCTGGCAGAAGGGGCAGGAGATTTGCACTAGAAAATAGAAACGGTGGGGGCACGATGGGCCGAACGACCTCTTCGCTGTAATAAATCTGTGATTCCGATAACGATTGAGATTCTGGTAGGCTTCGACCACTTGCTGAGGAGGAGCTGCAGTTTCAGAGACACTCGCTTTTTACCAGAAAGACTTGACCAACCTGTTGCGCATTTAAAACGTACCTTTATTTTAAATGTTGAAGTTTCTCTTTGAACTGTAACCAACTTCATCGTGAGATCTAAGTAATACTGTTCCTCCAAGGGATGTTGCAAAAAAAGAATCATGGCAGTTGTTGACCGTTTTCCCCTGCGTTTACCAGAATGGAATGTGGGTCTCAGGAAATTCAGATATGTATTCTTGAGTCCTCCCAATTCAATTAATGTATGTCAAGATTTTCAGGCGGAGGTAGGTATTATTTAAAGTGGTAAGATTAGAGCTTTTGTTATCTCCAGATAGCAATGTCTTACAGTTTTGGATAATAAAGTTTGAATTCCCTAACTTTTGAATGCTTGTTATTAACAGAGGAGGATAAGATGACAGTTGTAATTTTAACATGTATCGTTCTTCAACTTAGTTTATTTGAATATAATAAAAAAGTTTACATTTTGGAATGTGCTCCAACAACACTCAGGCAAGTGGGAAATATTCCATCACACTGCTGACTTGTACCTTTGTAGATGGTGAATGGGCTTTGGGGAGTCAGGGGTTGAGACACTTGCTACAGTATTGCTAGGTTCTGATCTGTTCTTTAGCCACTATGTTTATGTGAGAAGTCCAGTTGAGTTTCTGGTCAATGGTAATCATCAGAATGTTGATAATAGCATTGAATTTTAAGAGGCAGTGGTTCAATTGACCCTTACTGAAGACGTTCAATGGCTGGCATTTGTGTGGCACAAACGTTACTTGCCAGTTTTCAGTCCAAGCCTGGATATTGTCCACATCATGTTGCATTTGCATATTCAATGCTTCAAAATCAGAGGAGTTAGGAATGGTGCTAAACATTGTGCAACCATCGGTGAACATCTCCACTTCTGACTTTATGATGGTGGGTAGGTCATTGTTGAAGCAGCCGAAGATGGTTTGGCTGGGGACAGTACCCTGAGGAATTCCTGCAGCGATGTCCTGGGGCTGAGATGACTGATCTCCAACAACCACAACTGTCTTCCCACGTGCCAACCAGTGGAGAGGTGCCCCCTGATACCCACTAATTCCAGTTTTGCTAGGGTTCCTTGATGCCACACTTGGTCAAATGCAGCCTTGATATCAAAGGCTGTTATTCTCACCTCACCACTTGAATTTAGCTCTTTTGTCCTTGTTTGAACCAAGGCTGTAGTAAGGTCAGGAGCTGAGAAGCCCAGATGGAACCCAAATTGAGTGTCAGTGAGCAGGTTATTGCTGAGCAGGTGCTGCTTGATAGCATTGTTGATGATACCTTCCGTCACTTTACTAATGATCGAGTAGACTGATGGGGTGGTAATAGGCTGGGGTGGATTTGTCCTGCTTTTAGTGTACAGGACATTCCTGAGAAAACTTCCACATTGTCAGGGTGATGCCAGTATTGTAACTACTGGTACAGCTTGGTTAGGAGAGCAGTAAGTTTGGAGCACGAGTATTCAGTACTATTGCCAGAATGTTGTCAGGGGTTGTCGCCTTTGCAGTATCCAGTGCCTCCAACTATTTCTTGATATCATTTGGAATGAATGGAATTGGCTGATGCTGGGGGCCACTGGAGGAGGCCGAGATGAATCATCCACTTGGCAGTTCTGACCGAAGATTTCTATAAATGATTCGGCCTTCTCTTTTACATTGATGTGCTGAGCGCTTCCATGACTGAGGGTGGAGGTATTTATTAGAGCCTTCTCCAGTGAGTTACAAAGAACAAAGGAAATTACAGTACAGGAACAGGCCCTTTGGCTGTCCAAGCCTGCACCAACATGCTGCCCATCACAACTAAAACCCCCTACCCTTCTGGGGACCGTATCCCTCTATTCCCATCCTATTCATATATTTGTCAAGACGCCCATTAAAAGTCACTATAGTATCTGCTTCCACCACCTCCTGCAGCAGTGAGTTCCAGGCACCCACCATCCTCTGTGTAAAAAAACTTGCCTCGTACATCACCTTTAAACCTTCCCCCTCGCACCGTAAACCCATGGCCCCTGGTAACTGACTCTTCCACCCTGGGAAAAAGCTTCTGACTGTCCACTCTATCCATGCCCTTAATAATCTTGTAGACCTCTATCAGGTTGCCCCTCAACCTCAGTCGTTCAAGTGAGAACAACCCAAGTTTCTCCAACCTCTCCTCATTGCTAATTACCAGGCAATATCCTGGTAAATCTTTTCTGTACCCTCTCCAAAGCCACCTCATCCTTCTGGTAGTGTGGGGACCAGAATTGAACACAATATTCCAAATGCGGCCTAACTAAAGTTCTATAAAGCTGCAACATTACCTGCCAATTTTTAAACTCAATGTCCCGGCCAATGGAGGCAACATGCCGTATGCCTTGTTGACTACCTTTTCCACCTGCGTTGCCACTTTCAGTGACTTGTGTACCTGTACACCTAGATCCCTCTGACTATCAGTACTCTTCAGGGTTCTGCCTTTACTGTATATTTTTCGTCTGGATTAGACCTTCCAAAATGCATTACCTCACATTTTTCCACATTAAACTCCACCTGCCATCTCTCTACCCAAGACACCAACTAATCTATATCCTGCTGTATCTTTTGACGGTCCTCATCACTATCCGCAATTCCACCAACCTTTGTGTCATCAGCAAACTTATTAATCAGACCAGTTACATTCTCCTCCAAATCATTTATATATATTACAAACAACAAAGGTCCCAACACTGATCCCTGAGGAATGCCACTGGTCACAGCCCTATGCTGTTTAATTGTGCACCAGTATTTGCAATTGGATGTAGCAGGACTGCAGATCTAAGAATTTCTCTCTTGATTATGGGATAGTTAGCTCTGTCCATCACTTACTGCTTATGCTGTTTGGCATGCAAGCAGTCCTGTTTGGTAGCTTCTCCAGGTTAACATCTCATTTTTAGGTATGTTTGGTGCTGCTTCTGGCATGCCCACCTGCTTTCTCCAATTTTACCAAGGTTGATTCCCTGGCTTGATGTTAGTGGTAGAGTGAATATGCCTGGCCATGAAATTGCAAATTGTGTTGTAGTCCAATTCTGCTGCTGTTAATAGCCCACAGTATTTCATGGATGCCCAGTCTTCAGTTGCTAGATCTGTTCAGAGTCTGTCCAATTTTAGCATGGTGATAGTGCCACAGAATACAATGGAGGATATTCTCAATGTGAAAATAGGACATTGTCTCCTCGAGGACAGTGTGGTGGTCATGCTTACAGATACAGCAATGCACTGATGCATTGTAACAGGCAGATTGGTGAGGATGAGGGTCAAGTATATTTTCTGTCTTGTTGGTCCAGCAGCTAAATCCTTTAGGATCTGACCAGCTCGATCAGCAGTGCTGCTGCAGAGCCACTCTTACTGGTGGACGTTTTAAGCCAGAGTAAAGCCTTTGCCATTCTCAGTGCTTCCTCCAAGTACTGACTGATCAGCAGAGGGAGGACAGTACATGGTAATCAGCAGGAGGCTTCCTTGCCCATGTTTCATTTTGATGCAATGAGACTTCATGATGTCCAGAGTCAATGTTGAGGACTCCCAGGGCAACTGTATACCACTGTGCCATCAGCTTTGCTGGGTCTGTCCTGCTAGTGGGATAGGACATATCCATGGATAGTGATGGTGGTACCTGGGACATTTGTCTGTAAGGTATAATTTTGAGTATGACTGTCAGGCTGTTGCTTGACTAGTCTGTGAGAGACAACTCTCCATATTTTGACACTAACCCCAGATGTTAGTAAGGAGGACTTTGCAGGGTCAACAGGGCTGTTATTGCCATTGTCATTTCTGGAGCCTAGGTTGATGCCAGATGATCCGTCTGATTTCATTTTCTTTATTGAGACTTCATATCGATTGGTACAACTGAGTGGTTTGCTAGGCTTTTTCAGAGGGCAATTGAGAATAACCACATTGCTGTGTGTCTGGAGTCACCTGTAGGCCAGACGAAGTGAGGATAGCAGATTTCCTTCCTGGAGGACGTTAGGGAATTAGATGGATTTCTCCAACAATCAGCACTGGTTTTGTGGCCCTAATTAGATTGTTAATTCCTGATAATTATTAAATTCAAATTCCACTGTCTGCCTTGGTGGGATTCAAACCCGGGTCCTGACAACATGAGAGATAGTAGGAACTGCCGGTGCTGGAGAATCTGAGATAACAAGAGGAAAAAAAAAAATTTTTTTTTTGTTTCTGAAGAAGGGTCCAGACCCAAAACATCAGCTTTCCTGCTCCTCTGATACTCCTTGGCCTGCTGTGTTCATCGAGCTCTACACCTTGTTATCTCATGACAACATTAGCTGAGTTTCTGGATTAATAGTCCAGCGATAATACTGGTAGGCTGTCACCTACCCACTTGAATTTAAAGGGTTAATTAACATGTCTGATATTCACCATTCTTTTAAATTTTTTTCCACATGTAGAAAATAATTACAAAGCAATTAAAGAAAAAAGTTGTGATCCATATTCTTATAACACAAAATCCATCATCTTAAAACAAAACATTCCTCTGCAACAACATTGAATAATTTCATAGGGCAAGCATTTCTGTTTATAAAACAGTCTGAGAGTTGATGGACTTGTGTCTGTTCAGGTCATTTTAGAAATACCTTCTTTCTCCCAACATTTCCTTAACTCTAGCAACGTCAATTAACAGTTTTTTTCTCTACAACATTCTTTGTTGAACGAATACTGTCCAAAAGAGAGCCACATAACATTCTTTGTAATCAGAATCAATTAACCTCAAAGAATGTGCCCGAAAAATTTGGTTGCCATGCTGTAAATTGCTGTTTTTCCATCACTATCTGTATCTTTCGTGGACTTTTCCATTCTTTCTGATTTTCTCTTGTGATACAGTATGTGCCTTGAATTAAAATTTATTAATTTATTTCTGATGACTTTAAATAGTGCCATAAGACTCACCAAACTTTTGGTGAAACATTAACCTTAATTAGTGCCCTTTGACCTACATGTAAAGCATTCAAATGCTCTGAAAAATTGAAGTCAATTGTAGTCCCTTCTAAAGTCAGGGAATGATTACTGCCCTTCTGAGAAAAATTTTGGCTTTCTCCTGAAAACCAATTGATACGGACTATAGACCCCAACCATTTGCAGTGAGTTCTTTACATGGACTGCCTGTGCCAGCCCAGATGCTAATTTACAGCTTGATTCGTCTGCTAATATTTTATGGTGCAATTCATCTGTTACGGTGTGATTTTGTTTTTTTTTCTCCAACTCTCTGCTATCCTTTAGCGCAATACTATAGTTTCACTTTTATCTGCTAAATTCATCATTGTCAAATCCACACCCTCTCCCCACCCACCCCATTGTCAGTTCGGAATTTAGCTGGACCCAGTCTGGTCAGTATCTATTTCTCCATTACTTTCCCATTGTTACTATTTTCTCTTTACTATATGTTATTGTGGGTGGATTATATCTAGTTACAACGTCTACAATGTTCGCCTTATCACACATTTTTAAGCCCATTTTAAACTTTGTTAAAGTCTTTTCATGATTGGACTCCTTACTATGGGCTAGGATGGTATCCTACTTTGTTTTCTATAAATATCCACTCTTAATACTGATCTATGCTTACATGGTTGAAAAGCAAAGTAGTTTTTGGTTATTTGGGTATAAAACGTGTGAGAGAGATCACCATCCTCAAAATTCTCCAAATTAAACTACATAAAAGCCAACACTATCTCCAAATACCACCCTTAGGATAGGAAATAGCAAACCCAATCATTGAAAAAAATGCAGAAGTAAAAGTTTAATTTGTTTGGTATGTTATGTTGTTTCTTGGTACAGACCCTGTACTAAATCCCTTAGCCTGGAGATGTTAATTACAGGTTTGCAAAAACTAAGTGGTTAGGATCCACGTGTGCATTGGGATATAAGTGGAAGTTAGTGGATTAAAATCACTCAGCTGAGCAGGATGAGGTATGGGTAGGTTTACACTCGAACACTGAGGTATTGGTAGGTTTCCCAATATGTGTTCAACTAAAATTACTCTCTTCCCAAGCATTGGTTAACAAGGAATTGAATCAGAAGATTCTCAGTCACAGCTATGACAGATCTACCTATCCCCCACCCCAAAAAAAGCATTAGCGGTGACCCATGTTGGCTGATGATTAAAAAGTAGCAAACCTACTTTGCTCAGGTATTTGATTATTAAGTCTTATGAAGAATTACCTCAGTAAAAATGTCATTTAATGCATGGAAAATTAACAAAAAGAAAATAAAAGAACAAGACCAATGGATTTGAGTTGAGTAATACATTTCTTATAATTTTAATTTCTCTTTCCCTCACCTTCAGGAGAACTTGACACCTCTTTTTCTTGGTGCTGATGTTGTTGCAAAAACTGGCATCCGCACTGAAAATCATCCAAGAATCCATGCAAGATTTGCAAAGAAAGGATTGGCAACCAAGCTCAGTTTTGGTTCAGGTATTATATTCATTCTCTTTTTAATGTGGTTTAATTAATAGGGTTATTCAAAAAAAATTTGCAAATCTTTGAGGAAAATATTTCTTTAAGGTTTTACAACTCATTTCAGCTACATCCTGCATACATACAAGATAGTTAGGGATGATAGAGACCACTTAACCTAGTTTAGTTATCATCCTATTTGTGTGTTCAGAAAGACCCTAAAGGTCTTCTGTTGCTTCTTAACCAATTCTTCCTTGAATAATTCTATGACATTCAGCTGTGCCTTACCATTTGGATGTTCAATGCTTGCATTGACCATTCTTTGCCGGGAAAAAAACTTTTTTTGATATCAGCTCTGAAACACCTCATATATCTTTATTTAAAATAATTTCTAGTTTTTCATAAATCAGATATCTTTTCATAGGAATTAACTATGTGGCTCTTCTCTTTCTTGCATTAGTTCCAGGCTTAAATGCCTATTGTTTCTTTGTTTTGCTGACAAGAAGTAGACACAGTACTCAGGATATGGTGAAACCAAACTGTTATAGAGTTTCTAATAACGTTCTTTGACATTTTAATCAACAAGGAGGTCAGAGGTTATTAGGATAGTTTGGAATTTGTGGTTGAAGTCACAATCAGATCAGCCATGATCTTATTGAATGACAGAGCAGACTTGAAGACCTGAATGGCCTTCCCCCATTCTGAATTTGTAATTGGCTATACTATGACCAGCTTTACCACTTCTATGTGTGTCATTTCCCTCACTACTATCATTTTTTTTTGTGTGTTTTCCCCATTTCTGAAGATGGCCTCAGCTGTTATCTCTTTCGCAGTCATTAAAATCTGAAGGTTGTCCATAAAAAAATGTTAATTGTAGCCTTTTGTTCATTGGCCCTTCTGTACTTCTACTCATATTTATAATTTTTGAAATTATTTGTTTTTAGAATTTCGATTTAAAGGATTGAAGATACCATCTGTGGTGAACAATTTGTGGTTTTACAGCATTCAGGGACTGTTTCAAGTTGCTTTTGAAATGTACACTAAAGAGCAACAGTTAGAAGTCCTTGTTGCACTTCAGGTACTATTAGCATTTGGAAGAAATATGTCATTTTTAAAAGATTTTCCAGTTTTTGAATTGATCACAACTATAAAGCACTATTTGGCATTATATATTTTCATGTAATGCAGCTTAACATGTAAATTCCTTCCCTATTTGCTCCATTAATTTGGATATTGGTAATACAAAACATTAGCATTTTACTATAATTAAAATGTTATTTGACAACGATTAATTAAAATGTTTCTCCTAAACAAAGTTGTGTACAGGGCGATTATAGTACTGTAACACAAACCTGTAGGACCATACTGCATAATTGTGGATTTAGACTAAGGAATGACACATGCCTTGATAAGTTGCTGAGTTCCTAAATTAACTACATTGACAAAGGATGTGTTAAGCTATGTCTTATGAAACGTAATGCAAGTTTGTTTTCAATCAACCAGGAAAGTCTGATACTTTGAACTACTGTTTTCTTTCTTTATAGGATTTGTGGAAAGCCAGAATAAATGACCCTAATCTGAATGACAAGTATGATATCAAGATTTTGCAAAATTTCCCTAAAGAGGGATTGCTTGAAAAACATACTCTTGAAATAAGGGACAACAAAAGTTTCAATGCATTGCATTCAAGCATTCAAGGTGCTAGTCCTGAACCTGATATTAATATATATAGGACAGCTGCTTCACCTTTGGATTGCACCCACAACAACAGCATTGTTAATCAGGATGACCATAACTATTGTATACAAGAAGGACGAATTCTACTGCAAACTGAAGAATTTTGTGCAGATAACCAACTAAATGTGGAGGCTTTGGATTATGATTCTTTGTTTATCAGATTTAGATCAGTTTATCAGGCTTTTAAAGTTTTACCATTACAGATACAAAAGGAACACGAGAAAACAATTACACTGTTGCTTGATTTTGTAGAACTCCTAATAGGTGAAAATATGTGTGCACAGAAGTTGGCTGATATGATGCTGCAACTTCTGACACATCTTCAAGACTTCATTGTCAAAATAGAAACCACTGAAACGGGTGTTAATTCTATTTATTGTAGTCACATGCTTTATACTGTAAGTAATTGGTTGGGACATCAATTTTATTCTGCTAATGGCTTGATCAGCAAGCAAGTAGAAGAGTTTAAAACAACTCACATCGACAGTATCACAGACTTGCCACCTGCTGAGGATTTGGTAGATAAATTATTTCCTGAAGCCATGAAAGTTTTGCTGTTGAGCTGGATGGGGCTTGATGATAATTCTGCATTATGGAAACGACAAAGTGAATATCCAATAGTGCTGCTTATATTAGAGTTTGCTAATCATAATCTAATCACTGGTGTTGCTCATGTACTGTATTCCAGTTTGATCTGTAAGTAGGAGGTTGAACAGTATTTAAACTAGATATCAATGCTTAAATTTAG